AAGTTTGAACCAGATTTCTCTAGAGATTATGAAAGACATCAGCAATATCATCCCTGCTCTCCCGACGAAATTAGGAGACTTGTTCTGGCTGATATTAACAGATTGCTTGGCCAGATGGGTAAAAATATTAGTGACTACCAATTGGTGCCACATAATCTCATGAGTTCATATAGCACGTCCCTGACGAAGGAAATTGAGTACGAGAGAAACATCAGCGTACCGTCAGAGGATATGTTACTGTCTTCCAGATTAAATTCTGAACAGAAATATGCTTATGATTTAATCTTGCAAGCATGTTTCTCTTCGCATGGCCATCCTTTTTTTATTGATGGTCCGGGGGGTACCGGTAAAATTTTTTTGTACCGGTTGCTCCTCGCTACTTTGAGATGACAAGGTCATATCGCCATTGCAGTGGCGACATCTGGAATTGCAGCATCTATCCTACCTGGAGGAAGAACTGCACATTCAAGATTTAAAATACCTCTTGACTTTTCAAAGAGCAAAACTTGCCAGCTTAGCAAGCAAGGTAGCGTTGCGAAGTTGCTCTCTGAATCCAAATTGATCTTGTGGGATGAGCCTTCAATGGCCATACGAGAAACTATTGAAGCATTTGATGATTTGCTGAGAGATATTATGGAATGTAACCTGCCTTTTGGGGGCAAAGTTGTCGTTTTTGGTGGGGATTTCGGACAAACACTGCCTGTAATTGAGCACTCAACAAAAGAGGTCCTTTTACAGTCCTGCTTTCTTAATTCCCCTTTATGGCCTCAACTTCATAAGCTAAAGCTGTCAGAAAATATGCGAGCTATATTAGATCCTCAGTTTTCTGAATTCTTATTAAGTGTGGGCGAAGGAAAGGAACCTGTTGACCTGAATGGTGAAATAACTCTCTCCACAGATTTAGTCATTCCTTATAATGATAAAGAAGAGTCGCTGAATAGGTTAAATAATTTACTACTATGCTGGTTTATCTGTCTGACTTTTTACCTATATGATTCCTAACTTAAGTCCTCTATTAACAGGTTAATAAGTTGTGTTTTCCCGGATTTACCTCTCTATTCTCGAGACCCTTATAGTATGATCAATAGGTGTATTCTTGCTCCTAAAAACAGTTCAGTTGATGAGTTGAATGATATCCTAATTAGGAGATTTCCTGGAAAGCTGTATACTTACACTAGCACAGACAAAACTGTTGATCAGCGGCACCAAGGTGATTATGAAGATTTTCTCAATTCTCAAAATCCAAAAGGCCTTCCTCCTCACAAGTTAATGCTAAAGGAAAACTGTCCAATTATATTGATGAGGAATCTTAACCCGCTAGAGGGCCTTTGTAATGGTACTAGACTCATATGTAGAGAACTTGGCCATCACACTATTTCTGCTGAAGTTGTTTTCGGCCAGCATCAAGGAAAAATTATCCTAATTCCAAAGATGCCTCTACAGACTCCCGATAATGAAAAGAATGGCGTTGCATTCATAAGAACGCAGTTTCCAGTCCGCCTTTGCTTTGCATTGACCATCAATAAGTCCCAAGGACAAACTCTCGACTATGTTGGCATTTATTTACGTGAACCTGTTTTTTCTCATGGACAGCTCTATGTAGCTCTGTCCAGAGCCAAAACTTCATCTGCGTGCAAGATTCTCATTGTTCCTGGGACTTTTGATGGTACAAAAAAAGACTGCAAAACTAGAAATGTTGTATTCAATGAAGTATTTCAATTCAGTTAGCTATATATCTTTCTTGCATTCAGGTATATCTGGATATCCCTATCCCTTAGTTTACTTATTAATGTTATTTCATCCGTATATCACTTTCCAGATTATACATTTTTTTGCTTCTTCTTTTTTCAGGATGACTAACATGTTATCAATCAGAGATATCGCTCCTAATATGAAAAATTGGTGCTGTATTGTAACTGTTCAAGAAAAGCAACAGGTTACTGATTCAATGGGAACACCGACCAAGAAACAAAAATTGATCTTCTACGACTCCGAGGTTATATTTTAGAGCATATTTTCTAAGCATATCAGTTCTTCAATCTTACACTCGTTTTAATGGACTTTTTCAATTGATCTCCTTAACAGGGTTCTAGAGTAGAAGGCATCATTTTCAATGCTGACATACCTAAGATGAGTCCTGTTCTTCAAGTTTATCGAAAGTACAAGATCTCAAATGCTGATGTCAGAAGCATTCCACCGAAATTTCAGACCTCTGACTTGACTGTGCAATGGGTGATTACTGCTAAGACTGTTATTGAAGAAGTTAGTAGGGAAGAAGACATCATGCCTGTTAAATTTACCTTCACAGAGTTTGCAGATTTAGCTCAATACATGGACGACAAAAGCAAGTCTGTAGGTAAGTTTTAGCTACCTTTGAAGTGCGAGTTTGCCCTCATCAAACTGATTATTACTTTCCTGACCTGCTTTTGCTGTCTCGTAGACGTTCTGGGAGTTGTAATCAGTTCATTAGAGAAGAAAACGATAACTAAGAACTCCAAACAGTCAAATGTTCAGAAATTTGTCCTCCTTAATGAACAGTAAGCACCATCTTTTTATAATCCTATTACTGTTTTTGGCTAGCTCTATCTTCTTGTTTTTGTAACCATTTTTATTTCTTTGAATGTTGACTTATATGTCAATGTGAATACTAGGTCTCAAACAGTGATGCTATCTTTGTGGGATGACTTTCTGAACAATGAAGGACAGATTTTAGTGAATACCATTCAGGCCTATCCAGTTGTCATCGGGCGCAGATTAAAAGTTAACAACTACAATGGTTCGTTAAAATACTGCCCTTCTGTGTAATAACTTTTATTTACTTATTTTAAAGCTTGCCAGTGATGCCTGAAATCTTCCGCTGTTGTTTATTCTGTAGGAGTTTCACTCTCTACCTGGTTTGATTCTGCACTTCTTGTTGACCCACCCATACAGGACGCAAGAGAGTTGAAGAATTGGTTCAATGCCTATTTCTTTGCTTTTTTCATAAACACGCAATATGAGCTGTTCTCATTTTTTTTCCCTTATTCTCTGATTTCATCATTCGCTGTGCAGGGCAATGAGAAATACTAAATTAATTGCAAGCCTGATTGAAACAAAGAGTTACATCAAATACAATCCTCAACTCTTTTTGAAAGCAGACCAAAAGACTACTTTAAACTGTAATGTTTCTCTGTCACAGAAGGTGCTATGACGCTTTTCCTATTTAACCACTTTCCTTAAAATTAGTCATGCATATTTAGCTTCTGAACTTATATCTGGTTATCTTTTAGACTACGCTGGTCAAGGCAAAAATCTCTTTTGAGCACATTTTCCAGAAATATTGGTATATGAGCTGTGCAAAATGCAACCGCGCTACTGCAGCAGACTACGGCATTGAGTTTACCTGCAATTCATGCAAGCAGAAGAGTCCTGCTGTGCCCAGGTGCTATATTATTAAAGCCTCAGCATTATATTTAGTAGGAAATTGTACCTAAATTCACCAGGCTTCAATCCATTACCTAATACGTTACATGTTTACTTTTCAGATGTCGGTTCGACGTTGATTTAAGTGATGACAACGGAGTTATCCCAGCCTCAGTCTTTGGCGACCTGGCGGAGAAGCTTCTCACCTTCACCGCCCTTGAAGCAATGGATCATTTTAACCAGGTTATTTTAGCTTCATGTGGTTGTTAGTGAAAGCAGCAATCTACTCCCAATTGTCATTCCTTTTTGTGTTGCCTGTAGAACCACGAACTTCCACTTGAGTTTGCTCACAACAGCCTGAAAACAAAGACTTTTCTGCTCCATATTAAACCAATCCAGACTCAATTAGCGGATGCCAGGCAACGTTATACAATTTTGCATTATTCTGAACTTGAACAAGGATTTGATTCTGCTCAATCACTAGAACAACCAAATGCTTTACCTATCTCGTCTGAGCACAAAATTGACGCTGCTCAGCTTCTGGCTCCAGGTTGGTCCACATAGTTACAGTTTTAACAAATAACTTTCGTATCTTACCATCATTTCCAACTAATCTTTATCCTTGTAGAAGAAAGTAGCTCTGGTTCAAAAGCTCGCCTCCGCCTCAGTGATAAGTTTGATGAAGCAGAAATTACTGCCACTGATGACGTTGAGCCTGCTACTAAGAATTCCAACAAGAGGACAAAATTGAGATGAATCAGGAGTTTGGGAACTTTTTTGCCTTTTTCATCTGCACTTCTATATGCAAACTAGCACATTTTTTGTTACTTTTGAATGTGCTACTACTATGTTTGTAAGCCTTTTGACTTCACTGCGTGGTGACCTGTCAAACAGCTTTTGCATCACCATCTAACGTCGATGCTTACTTTTGTATCAATGTTCCTGCCAGCCCTCCAAAGATGAACTGCAATCTTTATCTTGGATATCAAGGAGATTTTCATAGAAATCTTTGGATTCCTGGCAAGAAACTTACTTTGTTCATTGTGTCGACTTTAAAATTTATATGATCTTGGAGTGCTTTTCTGTTCCTTTTCATCTTCTTTTATGCAAATGTTGCAATCAATTCTTTAACCGTCCAGCTATGTATGTACACTTCTTTATTTATTGCACCTACTACCTTCTTTGGGACGTAGAGATTATAAATTCACCTTGTGTTGCTCCTTTTTAGACTGATTCTTTGACTGCATATATGACAGACATGACAAAAGCATGACTATCTATGAATTCCTTGCAGGCAATTAAATTTTCCAAGTACAGGGTAGATGTTAGCTTTATATTATGGTCAGCTGACGCCTCACACCTAATAAATAACATTGAATTGTCATTTCTATTGCCCATTCTTTACCGTCCTCTACTGCAATCAATAAATTTCTTCACTTAGAGTACAAAGCAGGTCTGCACTCGCCATTAAAACCAACGAAAAAGGTGTTTATATGTGCTTTTAAATCTTCAGAAGATGAACTTGCCTTGCACACCCATCTTCCTTAAATTGATGCCTTCTTTTCCTCCGCTTCTTAAACCTTCCTTCTATTAGTTCAATGTCAGAAATAAGCTGCACAACAGCACCAGACCTTCATCTCACGTATGACAACTTAACAGCTTGTTGTTTCCTTCTCAAGTGCATCCATAGAGGACAGGTTTGGTCTTTCTTTATGCACATCCAAATGATCTAATTTAAATGTTTATGCCAAAGACTTTATCAACACTATTTATATTCTCCATGTTCTCCAGATATTTCCTTCTCAATTTGAGCTATTGCTTGCTCAACACCAATCCAGCCGAATCATTCTCAGGATTGGACTGCAACAATGGCCCATAATGGTCACTAACCATTCGTTTGGAGAAGGCTGGGATTATTTCTGCGAGCACAATAGCATTAAGAGGCATGACACGCTATTACTTCGCCATGCCGGAAGTCTAATATTTGATGTAATTCATTTTTCTGAACTACAAACACAGGTTTACATGCGTTGGACAGCTCCCCTGCCAAATCTTTTACAGACAAGCAATTTTACTTTGCAAGGTTCTACCACCATTCTACCTATCCTATATTCTAATATATACAATATATTACTTCTATTTGAATACATGGTTCGTAATTATTGCTAATAACTGTTCAGGCACTAGACAGCAGCATGTAGCTTCCTCAATGCAACCGGATCTCTGTCAAAATTTATCCGATTCTATGTGCTTTTACCAAATTTTCCACTCAGCAACTCCAAATAGCTTGGTGAACTATTCTCTCCTTGCCTTCGTCCTTTTAATCCCTTTGCAAGAAATTTTCTTCTGATTCTACATACATTCTAATTTTCATCTATTACTATCAGCAAATTCCACGCTTTGTTGATCATTTCATAAATCATGAAAGAACTCCTACATTGCTTATCAAAACTGGATATAGAAGCACTCAAATTGGTGTCAAGTGTGAACGCCTTCGGCGAAATTGGAGAACTTTCGTTCTTGAGCACCAGCTACAGCATAATGAAACCCTGGTGTTTATTCCAGAATCAGAAACTGTCTTCACTGTTTTAATCTTTGATGATACCGGTGTTGAAAAAATTTTCCCATGGTATCACACGTTTAATATCTATTCAGATGTCTAGGAATCCAGCTGCAATATATGATGTAATCTGCTTATCATTAGTTAAATAAAAGAAATCTGCCATTTTCCATCAACTACAACCTTTATTTCCATTGATCGGTCAACAATACTATAAAAAATAATATATATTCTTGTCTCTCATTTTTTTACAAAAAAACAATTATATCGCATGTCTTCTTTCTGTGAAAAAAAAAATATTTAAACAACAATAATGGTAGCATAAAAAAATTCCCTTCGCCTATTTTTACAATTATCCATTACGGAATTTGTCACCTATTGCATACTCGATGCCAATGATTGTTGTTCACTGATCAGTCTTAGCAAATAAAACAAACAATTGATTAGCATTCAGCAGCCATTATGAAATTCTTTACTCATAATAAACATACTACATTCTTTTTCAAATTTACATTTTTTGATAACTAATTTGTCTAAGTTATACATGTTATTATGTTCTTTACTCTTTCCATTTATTCTACCAAAAAAATCTTCACAAGTGCTACATATACCTGTTAACTTATGTATAAAAACGTCCCTGCTAATATTACAAATAACTAACCATTTTATACAATTCTCGCTAAATACAAAATCATTTACCTATTCAATTTTCTATTTCCACGCGTTCTTTTTTAGATGCAAACTAACCACACGCTTCATCTTGTGTAACACTTGTTATATTACTTGCCATTTGAATTAGCTAATATTGTTCATAAATTACAATTAAATTGGCCATTACTGGGCATAATTGCATTCGCACACCGCGCGATGCGCGGTGATCCTCCTCCTAGTGACAACTAAAAGTCAAAGGCGTGGGAAAACACATCAGCAAAACTTTTCTCCAAAATAAAGTCAAGACTTCATTAAATTTTTGTTCCCGGAAAAACTTTTCGAATCCTGCCAAAATACTCTTAACCCTCAGCTCCGCAATGAAATTCCCGCGATCCTCTTTCTTAATCTTCCTTTCCATCTCATTATCAATCGTAGCTACATCTTGGAGCTCTTCAATTATCAATCCCTCGAAGGTCAAACAAATTTCATGGAAACCCAGGTATTGTTATTAACGTTGACCAGTAAATGGTGTAACTTGAATTACTTTAACGACATTATTCAGTAGTTTAAATTTGATCATTTCTTTATTTGTTTTGTGGGGCTTTTCCAGGGCTTTTGTGTATAAGGGATTTCTTACGGATGAAGAATGCAATCATTTGATTTCTCTGGTAAGTTCAATTGCTTATTTTTCCCCCAATTTTGTCAATATTTTTGGAATATTGAAGTTTGGTTTCTTTATGTGGCATCAGTGTTGATGGAGTAGGCGAAATCGGAGCTGAAGAGATCGGCGGTGGCGGATAATTTATCTGGCGAAAGTAAGCTCAGCGAGGTTCGGACTAGCTCCGGCATGTTTATTCCTAAGGGAAAGGTTCGACTTTTATCCCCTATTCGTTTAGTGGTTTTTGAATTTACCATTATATCCTGATCAAAGTGTCAGAAATGTATTCCAAAATTATTTTTTGCTGGATGAAGTTAGATCTATTATGAGGGGTTTTTTCACCCGCCAAAAAGAAAGGAAAAGGAAAAAAATGGTGGGAGTAATTTAAGTTTGTTTTTGGAATTTTTATTGAGGATTTGATCATTGGAACTTTGAGTTTTAAATTGGAGAATTAAGAGAGGATAATTGCGCGTGAAATGCAGTTCAATTGTCTTGTTTATGCAATATTTATTCAAGAAGCAACATTTGCACAAACTGCATCACTTGTTATATTAGTAACTGAAGAATTAGAGACTCAGTTAAGGTGGTATGATAGAAGACGTGCTAATCCATTGATCTGCAATCATGATATGTGGGAACTGCACTACAAATTTATCTGTGTTAAACATGGCAAATATAATTTCTATAATCGAGAAGAAGGTATACGAGCAGGAATGGAAGAATGGCCCAAAATATGCAAAGTTACTATTTTTACAGAAAATCACTACAAACAAACCACATGATAGTGACTTGTTTGAATTCATAACTGATCAATGAAGGATTTGCCTGTTGAAATAGATAATAGCTTATGGATATCACTCTGGTTTGTAGTCTGAAACTCGAATAGCGTTCGCATTATTTGGATCTGCTGGTTTTGAAATTTATAATTACCTTACTGTGTTTTGTCTATATTTTATCTACAACATGTGTTACCAAATTTTTCATGGTTTACGGCACTTTAGTAAATGCATGATGAGGATCTAAGAAGCTCTATCCATAATGGCTTATCCCGGACCTTTTTTTTGTGGATTTTATTTTAATTTTCCCACTTGGGAGGCAACTGGTAAGATCAACTGAGGCAATAGCTATTTATATCATTCCTTTTCCATGCTTCCAAACTGGACTAACTAGCATGTACTGTAAAACATGATATCTGTTACTTCTGCAGTCCCAATTATACCAGTTGACTGATTATTTTATTGCTAACTCCATGCTTCTTTTTCTGACATTCTTTCTCATTACCTCTCATACCAATAGGATCCCATTGTTGCCGGTATAGAGGAGAAAATTGCGACATGGACCTTTTTACCTCAAGGTGTGCTTCATGTTAAACCGAGCTCCAGTAGTGGAAATTCCTCTTTCACATCAATATTTTGCGGCCTGAAATATTGGGTTCAGCTCACTACAAAGATGCACCCGCACTCCACAAAAATCTTTTTCCCCTTTTTAAATGACTGATGCTGGCATGTACACCATTTATGTGCAAAACTTACTTCGATGTCACATCGTGTGGCAGCTTACCTTTTTAAAAGATTTCTCTGGGTTATTGTTAAGATTTGTGTCTCAACAGCAAATTCCCCTTAGCTATCCGAGCCTCAAATACTGAAACCCCGTATGGCTCCACTTAAATAACACATCTTCCCTGTGGAAATGAGGACAAATGGTTTGGTTTGCAAATCATGGGCAGAAAGATTTTTTTTTTTTGGCAAAATCCAAAGCATTTGGTCCAGCTAGAGTCCTTGCTTTCTCACTCTCATTCATCTTCAACCATATTATCTGACTAGTGTCTTGTGAAAATTTCCTCTAGACCACCAAAGTGTGCTTTAACTATGGGTGCATGGATGATGGGAGGGTTTGATTGCTAGTTAACTGAATTGGGGCTCATATTACTTCCTTTCTGCAGAGAATGGTGAAGACATACAAGTACTTCATTATGAGTATGGACAGAAATATGATCCGCACTATGATTACTTTGCTGACAAGGTGAATATTGCTCGTGGAGGACACCGTATAGCCACAGTACTGATGTATCTCTCTGATGTTGAAAAAGTGGGCGAAACAGTTTTTCCTAATGCTGAGGTTAGTTGACACGATATGACTTTTTATTCCATTTGCTCTAACACTAATATCATTTCTTATGTGTTGCCAAAATCAATTACTCTTTGCCATTTCCCTTTATCCATTTTTTTTTGGTGAGTTTCCTTATGCACAAACCTTTTGGTTAATGTGCCAGCTGTTTTGTGCAGTATAAATCAGTACTGGCTTTGAACTTTTAGTCCTATAAGTTTTGGTGATAATTAGTTGTAAGATTTAGTTTGCAGAAATTAATTATGGTTAGTTGTGCTTTGGGTCTGTATGATATTTAGTTTTTAGAAATTAATTACGGAAAAGTTGTGCTTTTGATTTGTAAAGGCTAGATGTGCCAAATGCTTAATTTCACGATACCAGAGATAAGTTTTTTCTTAGTATCAGTACTGAAAGGCCCTAGCTAGGGCTTGCGAAACTATAATGAATGAGAGGCAGGACAAGTGTTTTATGCGAAATTGTGAAACCTCTGCTTTATGGGTACATGTACTGTTTTGTTTCTCATCATCTAACGTGATATTCATTTGTTAATATTTGTAGAAATTTTTTCCTGCATCTTGTTAAGTTCTCATGGTCCTGTGGGGATACTGTTCTCTAAATAAAAATTTCCAAAAAAAAAAAAAAAAAACTCTGCAGGATTTATCCCGTCGGCGATCTATGACTAGTGATGAGGATCTGTCAGACTGTGGGAAGAAAGGTATCGCAGGTGAGGCCTTAGAGTTAGTCATGCTTTGGTAATGTATACTGATATTGTGGATTCAGCATTGATTCTTGATTGACCCTTTGATTTTTCTTTCCCACAAAAATTGGAACTTTCTAGTGAAACCTCACAAAGGAGATGCACTTTTATTCTTCAGTCTGCACCCAAGTGCCGTTCCAGACCCTATCAGTCTTCATGGGGGTTGCCCGGTGATTGAAGGTGAGAAATGGTCGGCAACAAAGTGGATTCATGTAGACAACTTCGACAAGATTTTGGGATCCACTGATAACTGCACAGATACAAGTGAAAATTGTGAGAGATGGGCAGCCCTAGGCGAATGCAAGAAAAATCCGGAGTATATGGTGGGATCACCAGAAATTCCAGGGTCGTGTAGGAAGAGCTGCAAAGTGTGTTAGGAGTTATATACGATGCTTTCCACTGACAGGCATTTTTGTCTGAGAAATCACTGTACTTGTTCATTATTTAAATGGTATTCCTGTTTATTGAGGGTTTTAGGCGTGGCTGCTACTCTGAATTTTCTCAAGAGATCAGAGCACACGTATATGCATTGTATTTACTGTACTCAAGCTTAATAATTTTTTCTTCCCTTTTAGTTTCCTTCTCTTCACCCTATTTAGCTTAATCATCCATTTGGGGTTCCAGTTTATATATATATATAATGCTTTTTGATGAAACGGTACGGTAGATTGCATTGCTTAGTCAAAAGAAATGTACATGACGAGCATAGGCTCGAGGCTTTACAGCATGCCATTAGTACAATAGATTGAAATTAACTCCCACCGCATCGTTATAATCGCTCAATGCTTGAGCGCTAAACAAAAAGCTTAGATCATTCCTATTGACCATTCCAGTTTATATCGGGCCATTTGGTTTTACATTGTCAACTAACAAGTAGGGCATCATAAGGTTAATGGGTGTTCGATTTGTCCTCAAACCCTCATATGCAGAAATTGTTGCCCCATTACTGGAGTCACCAAACCCCGGACACGCAAAGAAGTGTGATGTCAGCAGTAATTGGGAGATTAATTCTTAATTTACAGAAACTGGTCTGGAGAGGCGAACTCCTCAAAATTCTTCATGAACTACTGGAGAGATTTATATATATATATATATATAAATATATATATATATATATATATATAAATTTGAGTGGGTTCAATTCCGATTATCGTCACAGAGGTCATAGCATATCTCCGAAATGAAATCATAGGGGTTGATTGGTTGATTGATTTCAATTAAACCCAAAACTCTTTAGAGGCTTTGGTGTGGAAAACGAGCATGATATTTAAAAGTACTGAGTGTGTTTGGATAGCCAAATAATGGTCAAAAATTATTTGCTTACATCACAGATACAATTTTCAACACACCTTTTTGTCTTTTCAATTACCTTTTTATCTCACAGACATCACATCATAAAAAGTGCTATTCCAAATAATATTTCAAATAATCTCCTAATCTTTGCCCTACCAGGAATTTTCTCATTCCGCATCTAGATCGAGTTAGGTTCATGCCTAATTTTCTCGCACTTTTTCCTTGAGGCAAGGAACAACGACAAGGAGGCAAGGAACAACGACACACACACACACACACACACAGTTAGATTAATTACTCAGCGGGAATCGAAAGAACGGTCCAAACGGACAATCTAAGGAGGACCCACAAAGCAACCGGATTCAGCCAATTGGTAATTTTCTCGCACTTACTTGACCCAATTAATTATCCCTCTTAGCTAAAAACACCTAAGTAATTTTTTCGTCATTAAAAGAAGGATTAAATGAGAAAAAACCCCCACAAACTATATACTCAGTTGCAGTTTACCCCATAAACTATAATAATAGGCATTTTGCCCCCTTGAATGATATATTTGGACAATACTACCCTTACTATCTTAAATCCTTTCTTCTTTTTTTTTTCTCTATTAGCTTTTTTAATTTTTTTCCTTTTATTTTCTTTTTGTTCTCATTCTCTCTTAGAACTAGCCAACATCTCTCTCCGATGTGAAAAGACTTGCATCAAAAATTTTAAAATTTTTTAAACTGCTTTTTAAATTTGTTTATTTGTTAAATTCATTCTTAATAATTTGTCATAATAAACTCTTTGTTATTACAAAATATATGTAGCTTATATTGTAAAGTGTATTAATCTAGTAATTCAACAATTTAAGTACCTATAAACTAATTAAGAGTTCACAGTTACTCAACTACTTATAATAAAAGTAATATATTATATATCACATAAAAAAGAAAAGTTAGCAATTGCTATTTGTAATGAAATAAAAAATAAGAATAAACAACAATAGTAGTTCATCTTTTTTGTTATTGATACTACTAATAATTGATTAATCAATTTCTCTATTTTGTTATTATATATTTGAAAAGTTCAATTTCTTAAATGACATTGACTTCAACATTTGGAAAAAAAATCTTGCATTCCACAGATTTTTTTTAATAAAATATTGACATACGAAATTAAGAAATAAACAAATTTTGACTAATCTAGTCTACTTATTTAAACAATGTTTAAAGAAAAAAAAGGAAGAATTTAAAAAGAAAATGATAGGGAAAAAAGAAAAACAACAATGCTTAAAATAAAAGAGATAGATTTGTCCAAACATATCATTCAAGGGGGCAAAATGCCTATTATTATAGTTTAGGGGGTAAACTGTAACTCAGTATATAGTTTGGGGGGGTTTGCATTTGACCCTTAAAAGAAGAACAGTTGCCACACACACTTTTCTGACGTTTCACTTTGTGTTATTTCACTTTCTTGGCCCATTCGTCAAATCGCACTGGCTGGGGCAGTGGAACTCTTTACTGCAACGCATTAACAGAACTGCCAAGAAATGTCCAACCCCTATTTATTTGTCCAGACGTTTCCACATGCATCATGCGCTAATTCTGTAAGGTGGTACCACTAGTCTAGCAGCAGCAGGAAGTAGGAACCCGTGCTCGTCATTTCATCATCCAGACGTGGCCACCTCCAATTTCTCTAAATTTGCTTGAGTCGGCGGCCTCAGTCCATGTATGTAAGTGTAACGTTTCATGGTCCAAAATCGAGAACAACACAAAATGGTAGTGTGAGGCTAACCCATAGTTTTCCCAATGGTGACATTTCATTAATTTTATCAAGTTTAAATTTACATTTTGTTAAGGCGAGAAGATAAATTCAATACCCCTATTGAAAATTGAAACTCGCACTCTTGATGCATTAATTAATGTCTTATATATGTCATCAGCATCATCATCGACAACTTGCTGTTAAGTTGATTTATTAGTACGTACGCATTTCCCTTTGTCAAGAGGAATTTATTTATTTGTCAAGTGCAGTCCCCAAATTGATGGCACAAATTAGCATTTCGATCTGTGCTATGCACGGATTTATTTTTTAATTTAAAATAAAAATAATAATAATATATATTTTTATATATTGTAATACAGAATAAAATATATGCAAAAAGCAAAAAAATTACTAAATTTATAATATAGATTAAAATTTATAATCATATATCAAAATTTATAATATAAAAAACATAAATGATAACTAATTCATGTTCCTCGATTTTAGAAAGTTTTTTCCTCCGACATTCAAAATTGTTGAGTGCTTATAAGATAATATTTTTCATAGACTTTAATATAGATTAAAAAATCTTTGTAAGATGTGTTATTAGAGTTTTCAAAAATATTAAAAACTAGCTCCTATGACCTTTGCATCTCCAATTACAGTGCCATTCTTCCTATCATTTTTTAACACCTCTGTCATATCCCACAATTTTCTTATTTCTTTCCCCCCTTTATCTTCCCAACTTTGTAGTTCACACTCATTTTTTGACTTTTTCCGCCACTCTTTAACTCCTGAATATTCCTTTCCCCTCCCCTCTAACTTCCTATCCCTGCACCCTAATTTTCCACCATTTTTTTCTTTATTAGTCTCTCAAACCCTCGGATAGGGCCCCTCCGTCCCAACCTCTATCCCTCAAGCCTGGCCTTCTCCAATTCCTTCTTTTACTCCTCTCTTCTTCTTCCACTCGGCCAAACCAGAATAAAGTAATATTACAATTTTTCATTTACGATATATTATGCTGTAAAAATTTATATGCTTATGAGAATTACATGTACACATATGTATATACTATGTCATGTTTGTGTTGGGATTTTTTTAAAAATAGTAGTAATTACGATTGGCATTTCCTACTTTTGAGACTTTTAGTTTCTCTTTTTTTTTATTGAAAACATAATTTAACATATTGTTAATGTTACATTACTACAAAGTAAATTGGGCAGGATAAAAAATAAAAAAGAAAATTCAATACAAAAGTACAAAAAAAACTAAACTTAGTTATTTTTTATATTAATTTTGAATTGGCCACACACAAAAAAAAAAAGAATTAATTTTTTTCTAATTTTCAAAGGAGAAATTTTGTGATTGAATCCGTATTCAATCTCCAAATTGAGGGGTTAACATTTGAAGTCAGAGAAAAAATTTCCATAACTTGAAATTTGGTTTTATACTTTTAAAATGTACTTATATTTGTACTTTCCAAATAAATTGAAAAGATAAAAATTGAAACAAAAGAAATCATAACTTGCAATTTGGTTTAACATGTTTGCAATATATCTCATAATATGAAAATCATATGAAATTGAAAATTGAACACAATGGTTGCAACTATTGACATTCGAAAATGCAAACGAAGCCCTGACTACTATATATATGTATATATATATATAATAGTTACATATTTACATATGAAGAAAACAAAAGGAATACATAAAATAATGAATAATACCCAAGGCTATTCTTAGCATTTGAGTTTTGCACTATTATTCAAATTTAATTAGAGTCAAATTTGTATCAGATATATACAAATTAAATAGATGCAATTTAGGGTCAAAAGTATTATATTTTTCCATGTTGAAAGGCCGATAAGACTTCATTTTTTGATTTAGTGATTTCATAATTTAAACTTAATGAATAGTACCATTCTTGATTTTTTAGATCTATGACTAATGAATATTATTTCTTTTTTGTTTTCTATATAGTTTGCCATTTTAGGTAAAATTATTAAGTTGAAGTGTAAATTATTGTTATTTACTTTTTTACTTTTAATAGGTGTGGTAATGTTTCTTCTTTATTTACCCTCATATTAATAGTTATCAAACCATATTCCTATTTAAGTAGAACATCCTCTTACTTTTTAAATTCAAAAGACATGAAAAGATACATAACAATTAAAAAAATTCAAAATTCTATGAAACAAGAATTAGCAGTTGGAAGCATCTATATACATACATACATATATATATATATATATATATATATATATGAAAGTAACTATTTTAATTAGAGTTATTTTTCACTCCTATGTGGCATGCCTAATTGAAGAAAATTAATGGGTTATAGGTCATTTGGGTTTTACCCATATTGAATATTATATTTTATGTTTATAAATTATCCCAAATTTTAAAATAGCTTAAAAAATAACTAATATTATCTTAATGATATCTAAAATAAATTTTAAAAATAACTAATCTTATCTTAATGCTTTCTATGAAATTACTACGTAGAACTTTAGTAAAATCTTTTTCAAATCACAATTATTAAAATTTTACATATTCCATAAATTACTTCCTTTTACCACTATATCATTGATTAGTATTCAAATTGTTTATCATCTCTTCTGTTAATTTTGAATTAACGTAGTACAAAAACGAGAATTAACTGTTACACCAATTAAATATTTATTAATGAAAAAAATCAGATAGCTGAATCTTTTCTACTTAATTAAATGTGAATATATAGTTCTAGGTTTATGGTCATTATAGTTCTAGGTTTCTACCTAATTATAGTTATAGGTTTATGGTCATTATAAAAATTTAAATTATTTAAAAGAATATTTATATATATATAAAAAAAGAATATCTACCAAGTTTTTGATATGGGATACATTATTTGATATATATTCTCATATGTTTAATGAAAGTATGTAAACAAATTTTTAAAAATTAGTAAATAATTGAACGTTTAGAATATATTAATTTTTTAAATTTAATATGAATGAACATGTATAATTGTTGTTAATTTTTATATTTAAATTATTCATATTTATATAAATTTACAATAAATAATAAAAGAAACCGTGCTAAGGTACAAACAAAATTCTAGTTTTAGCTTAACCATGATGAAAATTTCTTCTCAAATTTATATAGATATAAATAAGTACTAGATGAGTTGCCTGTAATTCTGTGCAAACTTATATACTATATATATATATATATATATAGTGACACGTAAGGATGGACGAGTCTTTTCAGAAGCTGAAAATAACACACACACGCACACAATTAGAAAAAATATGGAATTAACGGATAAACCGGCCCGAAAGCAAATGTTTGGACGGACACGCACGCATACAATTAGAACACACACGCACACGTAAGGACGGACGAGTCGAGATGAAAGCAAATGGTCACTCAAAAAAAAAAGGAAAAAAAGAGGACCGCAGTAAAATTAATCGGGCTTTTGTCTTGTGACAGTACACAGACAGACACTTCTGCTGGGACATATCCTCGTCTCTGTGGATGAGAGTTGATTGACGCGATCAAGTGGTAGGTATGGTGATGGAAGTATGTGCGTGTGTATGACATAGTGCCACGTAAGGAACTAAGGATGAGTGGGGATGAGAGGAATTAGACACCCAAAAAAGATAAAAAAAAACTCAAGTAAAATCAATAGTGGGTTTTTCGTTTTTTTCACGTAAGGTTCATGTGGAGTGTCCGTATGGATTGCATTTTTTTCGTCATTTTTTCGTGAAAAAATTACTGTAATGATTTGATGTATGTAAAAAAAAAAAAATACTCCCTCCGTCTTACTTTAATAGTCCTGTATTCTTTTTTTATCTGTCCCAAATTATAGTCCACTTTCCAATTGAAGAATGTAGTTGTATTTTAATTTTTCTAAAATACCCTTATTCAATGTAAGTAATTGTTATTATAAACCTATCCCATTTAATGAGAGTTGATTCTTTTTTACCATCAATTCAAGTTTTCATAAAGTTGTATTATATTTAATGTGAGGGTATTTTAGAAAAATAGCAATCTAAATTTATTTTTCCAACAAAATTAACTATTTTTCTTAAACTGTGTAAAAAAAAGAAACAGAATTATCAAAGTGAGAAGGATGAAGTAATAAAAAAATATGATTACGAAAAATGACATAATTTTTTAATAGAAAATGGCAATCCAAACCTGACAGTGCTGCAGCCATCCACATGGGATGAAGAAAGTCGATTGACGCGGTCAAGTACTAGCTAATGGTTGACAGTTAAAAGAGTAGTTGTCAGGCCTCCGAATCCATTTCTGTCTGAAAATTGAGGGTAATTCCTGAATTTGGGAGGATTTGGGGAGAAGGGAGAGATTGGGGACGAAGGGTGCACAGAAGAACAGAGAGAATTGAGGGAGAGAGAGATTTAGAGAGAGAGAGTAACAAAAAGAGGGAAATTCTGTTATATTTCTCCGATACCGTTTCCACCAATCAATGCTATACAAATAAGCTGAAGCAACCGACTATGAAATCTGTTAACTAATTCTGTTATGCGCTAAAACGACGTCGCGCTACTCAACTTGGTCCTCCCACGACGTCGTCCTGCTTATCACTAACTCTACTGACCCTTAAGTGGAACGACAACGTTTGCTCCTTGGGGCAAAATTCGTTGGGCTAATTTGGAAAATCAATTGCTGAATTTGGGAATCAATTGCTGTGTTCTGACATAACCTCCCCCATTTAATAGTCTTGTCCTCAAGACTGGAACTGAGGAAATTGAGCCTGGATGAAGTCCTTATCTTCCCACGAAGCTTCCTCCTCATTAAGCTGACTCCATTTGATCAAGTATTGGATCACGGGCTGCTCATTCCTCATGATCACCCTCCTCTTCAATATGGCTTCAGGCTGTAGGGGACATTGATCTCCCATATCAGGTTCAGGTAGTGTCGTAGCCACTGTCTGCAAAGGTCCTACCTTCTTTTTGAGTAGTGAAACATGGAAGACTGGATGGATGCGTGCCCCTGCTGGCAACTTGAGTCGATAGGCAACTGAACCAACCTTAGCTTCAATCTGAAATGGACCAGGCAACTGAACCAACCTTAGCTTCAATCTGGCAGACAATTTAAGACATTTCCTGATGGCCACTGACTGCTGCTTGTAAGGTTGCAGTTTTAAGAAAACCCAATCTCCCACTTCAAAGGCCCTTTCTGTGCGATGCTGATCAGCAAAGAACTTCATGCGTTGCTGTGCTTTTACTAGATGGTCCTTGACACTATTGGAGATTCTCAACTTTTCCTGTAGTAGTTGAGAAGCTGCTGGAATAATGGTATCAAGGTGAGGCCCCAATGGTAGCGGAGGAGGCCTGTAGCCATACAGTGCCTCGAAAGGTGTCAATTGCAGGCTAGAATGATATGAAGAGTTGTACCACCATTCGGCCAGAGGGAGCCACTTGCTCCAGTTGTGAGGGAACTCCCCAGTCATGCATCTGAGGTAAGCTTCCAAACACTGGTTAAGTCTTTCACTCTGCCCATCCGTTTGAGGATGGTAAGCAAAGCTATACCTTAATTCTGTGCCTGCCAATCTGAAAAGTTCTTGCCAAAACGCACTCGTGAAGACCCTGTCTCTGTCTGACACGATGGACTCAGGGATTCCATGTAGCCTAAATATGTTGTCTAGGAAGAGTAGAGCCACTTGTCTGGCTGTAAAGGGATGAGCTAAAGCAATGAAATGTCCCACTTTGGTGAATCTGTCAATGACAACCATTACTGTATCATATCCTTGAGAATCTGGAAGGCTTTCGATGAAATCCATAGTAAGGTGAGTCCAGGCTGAATGAGGCACAGGTAGAGGTTGTAACAGGCCTGGGTAGGGGACATACTCAGACTTAAACCTTTGGCAGGTGTCACAGGCTTGAACGTACTTGATGACATCCTGTTTCATATTAGACCAGTAGAATAGTGCCTTCAGCCTGTGCCAACACCCTCTTTGTCCAGAATGTCCTCCAATGGCAGAAGCATGGAGAGCTTGAATCAGTTTGTCCCTTAAGCCATTGGCTGCTCCCACATAAAGCCTGCCATTGTACTTCAGCAATCCCTGATCCCACTCATACAGTGACTGGGCAGTAGGATCCAGGAGCAGTTGGGAGATGATACCCTGACATTGAGGGTCAGCATCATAGCTCTGTTGCAATTCCTGTATCCATAGGGGTGTTACTGAAGTAATGGCTAAGCAGGATCCTTGCTGATGGAACTCCTCTTGACTCCTGTTATACAGTCTGGATAATGCATCAGCCACCTTGTTAGTTGATCCCTTTTTGTACTGAATCTCATAATCTAATCCCAGCAACTTAGCCAACCATTTGTGCTGCAGTGTAGTAGTAAGTCTCTGATCTAGCAAATACTTTAGGGACTGGTGGTCTGTCTTGATAACAAAGTGGTATCCTAGCAAGAGATGTCTCCATTTGGTCACGGCCATCAGCAGTGCCAACAATTCTTTTTCATAGGCTGATAATCCTAAGTTTTTAGTTGATAGAGCCTTGCTAAGGAAGGCTATAGGGTGACCCTCCTGTATCAGTACTGCCCCAATTCCTCCACCACTGGCATCAGTCTCTATAGTGAAGGTCTTCTGAAAATCTGGTAATTTTGAGTACAGGGGCTTCACACATGATGTGTTTCAGTGAGTCAAAGGCTCTCTGTGCTTCCCCATTCCACCTAAAGTTGTCCTTTTGAGCAGTTCTGTTAGTGGCTTGCAAATGATCCCATAGTGCCTAATGAACTGCCTATAATACCCAGTCAGCCCCAGAAACCCCCTCAACTCCTTTACAGACTGGGGAGTTGGCCAATTCATGACACTCTCTATTTTGGATTGGTCCATGGACACCTCTTGTTCAGTGATGGTATGACCCCGATAATCCACCTTCTGCTGGGCAAAAGAGCATTTGGATCTCTTAGCAAATAGCTGGTGCTTTCTCAAGGCACTTAATACTATTTACAGATGTTCCAGATGCAGCTCAAGTGTAGCACTGTAAACCAAACTATCATCAAAAGAAACCAGAACAAACTTCCTTAAGTATGGCTCGAATATCTGATTCATAAGAGACTGGAATGTGGCTGGGGCATTGGTCAGCCCAAATGGAATGACTAGAAACTCATAGTGACCACAGTGAGTTTGAAAAGCAGTTTTATGGGTGTCCTTAGGCTTGACCCTGATCTGGTGATAGCCAGAAGTGAGGTCCAGTTTGGATTTGTACTTTGAGCCTGCCAGTTCATTGATCAGCTCATCTACATTTGGGATGGGATACCTGTCTTTAATTGTCATTTCGTTCAGGCGCCTGTAATCTACACAGAAGCGCCAGGTTCCTTCCTTTTTTTTGACCAGCAGCACTGGAGAAGCAAAAGGACTGTTACTATGTATAATTATCCCATGCTGCAGCATTTCTCTCACTTGTTTCTCAATCTCACCTTTCTGAGAATGAGAATATCGATATGGTTTCATTTTGAAGGCCTGTGCTCCCTGCTTCAGTGGAATCTCATGATCTATCTCTTTGGGAGGAGGCAACTCAACAGGGGTCTGAAATACATCATGAAAATTTCCAAGGACCTCCTGAACCTCAGCAGGCATTCCAGATTCTTCTGGCAGCTTATCATGTCCCATCCTTAAAGCTAAACACATCTTCTTCTTATATTCAATGAAGTTCCTCAGATCACTTCCTCTAATAAGGTCCAAATCACAGTCTTCAGCTTGTCCCCTCAGTTGTATCGTTTCACCCTGATTATGCAGGGATATGGTCAGTTGATGGAAATCAAAAGTAATGGGGCTATAGTGAGTCATCCAGTCCACTCCCAAGATTATGTCCCACCCACTTAAATCCATTACTTTGAGATCAAAACAGAATTGGTGCTGGTTAATTCCCCATGTGACCTTGGGACAAATGGCTTTGCTAGTCACACATGCTCCATTCCCCACAACCACAGAAAACGGTTCCACTAGCCAATAAGGGATATCAAATGCAATCACCTTCTCACTGCTAATGTAACTATCTGAGCTCCCTGTGTCAACTAGTATGAGCATCTCCTCCCCATCCCATCTTCCTACTAGTGTTATTGTCTTTCTTTTCATGGCCTCTGATAATGCATGTAAAGACATCTCCATGACTTGTCCTGGATTCCCTGTGGACTCATCTTGCTCCCCTACTGCATCCTCAAACTCATTTTCCTCTTCTTCCTCAGTAACTAGAAGGTTCAGGTGGCCAGGCTTGCACTGATGGCCCTGTCCAAACTTCTCTCCACACTTAAAACAAAGGCCATTGTTCCTTCTGTATTGTAATTCTTCTGCTGAGAGTTTCCTAGTTTCTGATCCTGCCATAGACACTGGTTTGCCTCTGAATGGGGTATTTCTAAAGGTACTGGTGGAAGACACCCTATATTGAGAGCTGTGGATCTGGTGTGGGGACGAGTTCTTGGAAATTCCCAACCTATCCTCAAAGACAGCTTTTCCCCCCTCCTTGAAGGTCCTGGTTTGAAGTCTTAGTGCCTCTTCCTGCAGTGCAGCTAGTTCAAATGCTTCTGATAGATTCATAGGTTTCAACATTTTGATCATAGTTTTGATTTCATCCTTAAGTTCACTGATAAAACTAGATACAAAATACTCCTCATCTAGATGTGGATTTCTAATCATCATCATGATTTTTAGCTCTTCAAACTTTTCCTGGTAATCTTCCACCTTGCCTGATTGCCTAAGTTTATTGAATTCCTCTACCACATCTCTTCCATTTCTATTATCAAATTTTCTATACAACCATTCCTCAAACATTTTCCAAGTCAGATCTGGTTTTTCCAGCTTAATCCCCTGGAACCAGTTATCTGCCTTTCCTTCCAAATACATTTCTATCACTTCTACTTTTTGATCTTCAGGAATTTGGTAATTTCGACAGTATTTATTGCGTTTCCTAATCCATTCTCTCGGATTCTCGCCACTGAACATAGGTAAATCAATTCTAGGAGGGTTTGGTACCAGAATCTTACTTGTTTCTCTCCTCGCAGTTCTACTGTTGTCTGTTCCAAGCTGTAGTCTCTGATTCAGTGGTAGAGTTGGTAGTAGAGGTGCTTGATCCATTCTTTGCCTTTCATCATCGGAGGCAGCTCTTTCCTTGCCTAATACAGCTCTCATGAAGCCGCTAAGTTCCTGCTTCATCTCAGCTACCAGATTCTCCTTTCTTTTACTGTTATCTTCCAATCCTGAGCGAAATTTCATCTGCATTTGCTATTGTTGTACTTGCGATGCCTGCAGACCTTCCATTACTTCTTGAAGTCTGATTTCCTGCTTCTTGATTTGTTCTTCCAAGGTTTTGAACCTGGTACTTTCTGCCATGGATCCTGACTCGTTCCAAGGATTTAGCCTGCTTTGATACCACTTGTCAGGCCTCCGAATCCATTTCTGTCTGAAAATTGAGGGTAATTCCTGAATTTGGGAGGATTTGGGGAGAAGGGAGAGATTGGGGACGAAGGGTGCACAGAAGAACAGAGAGAATTGAGGGAGAGAGAGATTTAGAGAAAGAGAGAGTAACAAAAAGAGGAAAATTCTGTTATATTTCTCCGATACCGTTTCCACCAATCAATGCTATACAAATAAGCTGAAGCAACCGACTATGAAATCTGTTAACTAATTCTGTTATGCGCTAAAACGACGTCGCACTACTCAACTTGGTCCTCCCACGACGTCATCCTGCTTATCACTAACTCTACTGACCCTTAAGTGGAACGACAACGTTTGCTCCTTGGGGCAAAATTCGTTGGGCTAATTTGGAAAATCAATTGCTGAATTTGGGAATCAATTGCTGTGTTCTGACAGTAGTGTGCATTGCAAATAATTGCACCGTACAATTTAAGTGAGTGCACAGGAATTTAAAGGCCTGACCAATCTCCCCCCTCTCTCCTCGGGGGGTTTTTTTTTTTTTGAGTGACATTTATTTATATCCCTTGTCATATGTACGCTAAAAGATGGACAGAAGAAATGTGTATGATACACAGAACATTGCACAAAAACGAAAATCTGCTAAATCTCTCATCTATTCCTTAAAAAAGTGTTTTAGTAAAAAGAAATTCTGCATCCTAAAAATTTCTACCAGGGTACCCATAAACACAAAATTCCTATCATTAAACCCTTACTATTGCTGGTACTACTTTTCAGTCAGACTACTCAGCGGAGGCCTTCTTCTTCTTCTTCTTCTTTTTGGGGGAGAGGACAGCTGGGATCAATGACCTGTACTTGTCGTGTTTTGTTCCGAGTAAATATAATGACGGGTGGGAAATGTACGCCTTATATATGTGTGCGCAAATTAAATGAAAGGAAAAATAGTGAGCAGTTATTCAAAATTTTTATTAGCCTGTAATGTTGTCATTTTTTTCATATAGTTAAACTAAAAAAATTATTTATGGTTGTTGGAGGGTTCTTCTATTTAGCATTTTAGTGAAGGATAAATAAGGAAAAATAAAAAAGTGACAAAAAAAATTCACATCATACCACTTGTATCAGCTTGCACTATTTTTATCTGTGACAAATACACACTGGATATATGTGTAAATAAAAAATACATAATATTTATAGCCATATATTTTATTTAAAATTTTTATTGTTAAATGATTTGAGTAACGAGAGTGTAAGTGATATGTCTCGAGTTCAAATCCTTCCACTCACCCACAAGAATCTTTTAATTTTTTAATAAAATAATTCTATACCAGCAATTATAATGCTTAAGGAGATTTATGTTATAAATATGAGTAAATCTTTCCTACACTGACGGTGTATACACTATCATCGTTGGATTCATGACATGTGTACAAAAGTTGAATTTCAAATTCAAATTTTGCATAGTTGTCAATCATCCAACGTTGATAGTGTATACACTGTCAGTGTAGGAAAGATTAATCCTATAAATATATGCTTAAATAGTTACAACTAAAACAATCATGGGTGTTGACAACATATGTGTAGATAGTTAAAGTAAAAATAATTTTTATAAGCGCAAATAGAAGTTCATAAAGTGACAATAAATGTTTACTTCAAACCCCTTCCTCCGTATTTATACATACTAGTCGGTGGAACACACGCTGTATGTGTGCATAAAAAGTACGATTTTTGAAAAGTGATGCAATATTGCATTCATTGGTGGATTAGTTAATTGTAATAGTACTTATGTAGGAGTGGAAGATTTTTCGGATAAGATATGGGTGAATTATTGGTAAATGTTGGGATAATATTTTTGAAATAACAAATAATGATATTTTTTATTAACACCACATCCCTGCTCACGCTTTATTATATAGGGAGATACTCATGGGAAAAGCATACCCTATGGATGTGCAATTAAGAAAAATTAAGTTATCTTTTAATTTCTTTTTTTTAAGAAGTTATACAACCCTTTATTACAAACAAATAAAAAGCAAATAGAAGTTATTGGGTGTGAAGTTATTAGAAGTTACAAAATTAGTAGTTATCCTTAGTGCATTTTATTTTTTATAGGGATAAATTTGAAAAATGTAAAAATGAGACAAAATTTTAACATCAAACCCCCTCCTCATGCTGTATATATGACTAGTGCTCAAGGCACACCCATGTGTGTGCAATTTAAGAATAAATTAATTTTTATGAAATTTTTTTAAATAAATTGATAGCTGTCTTGGTAGTTATGTCAATTGGTAGTTAGTTTGGTAATTAAATTTTTTTATAATAAAAGTTTGGATATTTAAACCTATTGATAGTTGCAACAAAAATTATGTTGGTTATATATAATTGGATAGTTAGGATAAAATTTAGTATTTCTGATGATAAAAATGAAAGTTTAAGAAGTGACAAAATATGATTAGTGGATAATAGAGATTGAGAATAGGGATAAGGGTTAATAGATAATAGATATAAGGGTAAATTTCAAAACACACAAAGTTAACACTAAGTTAACTACCTACATAGACTTTATTATTGTAAAGATATGAGAGATATATAAGTATTTGTATAATTTTTTTAGTATTTGTATAATTTTTTTACAAAAATAATACTTATATTAACTTTTCTAAAATTACTATGCTTTGTAGAGTGGTTATGGATAATTATTACAACATTTGGGTGCTCATAAGTAGCCATGTGGTAAAATGTGGTTATGTTGGTTGGGTAAAAAAATTATTTGCGCTAACTATCGGTGCCTTGACCATGATGCATGATGCACGTATAGACGGAAAGATATATAGTGAGATAAGAAATAAATCAAAAGGAAATGGCCTAAAACTACTACTAAATGATGATAATTCTACTACTCAAAAAATTCATAAACTCTAAATGAATTATTTAAATATTTTTTTCTATCTTATAAATCTAACTCCATAATAATATACACCATCAAAAGTATCCCATCATAGTGATAAAATTGGTATTATAGTTATCAAATAATAGGTATCGACATGAAAAATTTGGCACTTTTTCCTTATAATTATACTAGATAATCTTATAATTGTATAGAAAAATAAATTAAAACTTATTACACAAGGACATATTTGGGTATTCATTAAAAAATTTGACCAAATCAAATATTATTTTAAGATTTTAGTACTAAAATTATCAAATCAAGAGAGGTAAGTGTAATTTTTTAAACTTTAAGGGAGCTTATTGAAATTATCAAAAAATTCAGGGGAGGTTTCTGAAATTATCCCCAAAAAAAAGGGTCTAAAGGAGTGGTCCAATAATAAATTATATAAAGTGGTGCCGCTTAAATAGTAAAGGCTCGCTGCCTAAAGTTTCTTCTTAATGAACCCTAATACTAATTATCCTCGTAGACGGGATCCTCCGTCTAATATTTTGTATCCACTTTCCTATCCAATGTAAAGATACGTAGTTTCATTTATTACATCTAATATGACACATGAAAAAGAAAGACTGTTTGGCTACTTTATACTTTTTCTTATTTCTTCGTTTTTGGATTTTCACTTAAGTCCTGGACTTGGCTGAAATAATTGAAATAGATAGTAAAATGCTAAAATGCTTTGACTGTATATAGTAAATAATAGAAAGGGTTAATTTCACTTTGTCCTCCCAAACTTTGCACGATTACCCACTTAAGTCCCTAAACTTCAAAATGGGACACTTAAGTCCCTAAACTTATAAATACATCCCACTTAAGGAAAATCGTTAACAAATCCTAAATGCCATTGGTGGTCGAAATATCTCATTTTATCAGGGTTTAGGGATTTAAGTGTCCCATTTTATAAGTTTAGGGACTTAAGTGGGAGGTATTTATAAGTTTAGGGACTTAAGTGTCCCATTTTGAAGTTTAGGGACTGAAATGGATAATCGTGCAAAGTTTGGGGGGACAAAGTGAAATTAACCCTAATAGAAATAGATATCGTTAACTTCATAGCAGTCCTTGAGAGTTTCCTTTCCCCAGTTTTCTCTCGTTCCATCTTCTTCCCTGCTTTGCTCTTGGCAGACTAGAACCTTCATTGCATCCCAGCAAGAAACCTTGACCCGTCTCTCTGCTACCAGGATGAATCCTGAATTCTTCACCGCTTTTATAACCTTCTCGTCTCTTATTCCTGATCTTCTCGCGATTTGGTATTTTACAGTTCTTCTGATTGGCTCGGCTAGCCATCTCCAAGCCCCGCTTTGCATCATGTCTGTGCCGATAGTTAGGGAGGAACAGAACTCAATTATCCTATCCAGTTCTACTGAAGTCCAACTTATGATCTGTGGTGGGATGATGAACGAGGGGGATGTGGCCATTACAGAAGAGAGCACTAACCAACTACCGGTCTGCTGCACACAAAAAAGAAAAGATAATAGACACGATAATTTCATGAATTCTTTCCAACTATGGATTTGATGAATTCTTTCATAATGATTAGATGAAGGTGAGTGTGTTGAGTTGCAGGTTTGACTTGATTTTTACGTTAATTAGTTGTCAAAATCTGTTAATCAAGTATCTGGTTCAGTACCTGGACATGGTCTTTAATTTTTTGTTCATTTTCTCATTGGTTTTCCCTCTTTGTTGTTTAGGTGGATGGATGGATTTCGAGCATTAAATCCGGCTGCCGGGTTTAAACAGAGGTTCGCCGCTTGGGTTTTAAAACTGCTGTCTTACTTGTCAAATTTGGTGATAAGCTTTGTCTTTCATACCTGTTCATTATAATTTTCCTGCTTTTTCAGGGGTTTGACAACTACAAATATTTTCCTAAAAAGTGCTTTGTTAGACCATTCTGAATCAAAACATATGGATAGGTCATGATCAAACTAATGTATTTTGTTGTTGAGTTTTCCGAAGATCAGATTCAACAATATAAATGCTTGCCAAGAGCTATAGGATGGAAATTTTGAATATCAGAAAATATAAATTAATATATAAGTGTTGGAACATTAACTTTGTTGATAACGTGCCAGTTGTATTGACAAATTTATTTCACATTTTCAGAAGGCTTTTGTGACGTCTTTGCAGCTCATTTAAGCAATAAGAGGGGTGAGCAATCGATAGGGTATGAATACCAACATAGACTATACTATTTTTGTGGATAGTAAACCAAGGTCACATGTCATCATAGGAGAGCGTAATGGTATAAGATTATAGAGACTGTAATTGATAGGATTAGGCACAAGTTTATGCCTAAAAGAGATATTGTTTACATTGTGGATATGGAGGCCATAGTAGGATCTGTGCCTGTATTGAACCTTAAAATGTATTAGTCCAATATATAAGACGCAAAAGAACTATCCTAAGACAGATAAGATGAAATTACAAATCCAATATGAGGTCTAATTTTTTTTTCTTTTCTTAGTTAATTCTTTAGAAGGTACAAATCCAATGGGAGGTCTAATTGTTATTTTCTTAGTTAATCCTTTAGAAGGTAAATGATCATAAAACAACTGTAACTATAAAATCTCTGTGAAAAATGAAGTACATATTTGCAGTACAGAATAAGCAGTAAGAGATAAGAGTTATTTATTCAAAGGTTTGGTCGATATTCAAATAATTTTGTGATGAATAGGAAATATTATTATTGGAATACAAACAAAATTTCTGAAAATATTTCAACTAAATTGAAAGCTTTGCCCATTCTCATGGAGCCACTATTCATTTGGAGTATTTAACCATTGGAAAATTTTGTTTGCTAGGGTATTGATTCACTTGGTTCAGATGAACTACGAACTATTTTTAGTAGATCATTTAACCATGAACTTTAGTCACTATATTAACAACTCTATTACTTCTGCAAGAAAATGCTTAAATGTGAACTTTAATTTGGGAGATGAGATTAATAATTCTTTCATTGGGATCCTTTCACTAGTTTCATATTAAATATGAACTTTATTCACTAAAAAAAAAGATTCTGCATGAAGCATTTTGCCTACTTTATCGTAAATTGAAAGAATTATAGCCATTCTATTAATAACGCTAGCTCTATTGGACGGCCAATTATTTGGAATAATGTTATATTCTTGTTTGTCCCCTTTATTTTATTGTGATTTTCTATTTTTGGTTGGCGCTAATATTCTCTTTAGACTTTAAGGCTATAGAAAGGAATGAGATGAGAAAAAAGGTTGGTTGAGAGAAATTCTAGAATGAAAACGACCTTAGTACTCATTTTGAGGGAAATGTCAAGTAAACAAAGGTGTATGAATAGTCTTGTTTTCTTCAGTTTGATTTAATATTAATCATGAATTTGTATTACATATTTTAGACGTTAAATAAATTAAAAACAGAAGCACAAAAGTAAGTGACAATTATAGCTTTAGATTTAGACAAAAAAAATGCATAACATAATTAGTTAGTTTTGAGTGACTAAAAACCACTGACCATCACTCAAATTAATAGTGATGCAAGTGGTCTTCTTTTAGACCCTCTCATTCTCCCCCACACCCTCTGTACCTGAACTGTCAGACTTAGGATTTGAACTATGAATATAAAGAGCTCTTTTTTGACAACTGGACCAACCCAAGTGGTTTAATAGTGATGCAAGTATTCATTTGATGATTCCTAAAATTTGTCCCTCCCACTAAAGAATCATTCCTCAAATTTGTATCACTCACTAAAGCTTTCCTTCTTTAATTTCCGCAGTTTTATTTCAAGTCTATTATCAGCAATGTTTTCAAATTCATTGATAAAAGTATATTGAATTATACCAAACAAGGTTACTGCTACTTCTACATAAATCATTTTCCCAAACTTATGTGTTTAACATAGATTAATAGTTTTGATGATTTCTAACAAACAAAATAAGCACTATGTAACTTTACCTGACCATTATGTGGAGTCCAAATCCCAAAGTCCCAAAAAAATAAGTAAACTCACTAGATTTACTTTGGGCAAAGCACAATAGGTTTTCAGGCAAGGCACCAGAAACGATTCTTTTTGGGGGTCTGGGTACCATTAAAAGGAAGAAGAATGGACTTATTTATGCGGGTAGGAAGGCTTTTACGAGGAGATCATATCCGTCTTTTATCTTATTAGTTTCAGTCTATAAATTTCTCGTGTTACTATTCTAATGTCCAATCTTTTTACATTACTGTAGAAATCTCCCAATTGAATTGAAACTAATCATGAAAATATGTTGAACAATTTCAGAGTGCGTGACTATCTCACACATACGGCATCGTGTTCTGAGACTTCTAGTTTTCTATTAATGATTTCTGTTAATGGTCTCGTATAATTCAACATGAATAGCTACCATGTTTTCATCGTTGGCATAAGAATTAATCAATGTTTGAAGTGGATAAGATAATGTAAGGCAAAATAATTCTTGCTACAGTTTATGAGACATGAATAAACTATAATTTAGAAATAAACCAAATTGTAAAAACATCCTATTATATCAGGAAATTAATTGTACAATCAAAGAGTGGAGTAGGAACTAAATGGTGTTTAGTTTGCAATTAGTAAGTCTAACATCAATTTACATAAACTCAAACAAAAAGTCTAAAACTCAATTCGATACTTTCCTGCTGCATCTTCCTTAAGAATGGTACGAAAATTACATTTTTTCAATAAATTTTCTTTAACTTTTCCCGCAATTTCGCTCAAATTGTCTTCTGTAAGATCCATGGTCCTGACTTTGCCTCCTTTCTCTCGTACTTTTGCTTCTTTTAAATTGCCGAACATATTTACAATTGAATCGGTAGCCTTGTTGGTGAATTCCTTCACATACTGCACACGGACTTTAATTCCTCGCCTCTCCAACTCGAATTTCAAAGTTGTGAATTTGCTATTTGCAACCAACAAGAAAAGAAAATGATGAGAGTAAATCTAACACATTCATTTAAAGACTTTAAATGCTATACAATAGAGTTAATTAGCAGAAAGAACATTAACATATATTTTAAAATTACTAACATAACCAGTTTAACACGGTGCTCAATAGTAGCAAATCTAGTTCCATTCGCAAAGTGCACCGTCTCATAATTGTCACACTGCACTAATAGCTTCTTGTATTGTTTATAATGCCCTTGCGCAACAAAATACTGTAAAGTTCCAATAATAGTTGTGAACTCTACATCAAAAATATTTTTCACGTCATCAACAACATCAGCCTGTCTCTCGCCTTCTATGAAAGAGAGATGATTTCTGTATAATCCTCCATAATACCCTTTACCCATAGGACCACCAAAATCGAATATATCATCTACAGAACATGTCAACTCCCTAAAAAGTAAAAATATTTTCATTTTCATCAGCCCTAAAACACCAAAATAAGTATAAGAAACAGCAATGCACTATATCCTTTACCCACAGGATTATCAAAATTGAATATACCATCTACAAAACATGTGAACTCCTTAAAAAGTAAAAATATTTTCACTTTATCCCAGAACATCAAAATGATTACAAGAAATAGCAAAATAAGAAACTTACTTCTCATCTTGTAATCCTTCTCATTTTGCAATACTTGGGGGTCTCGTCAACTTCTTCACGGGTGCATCTACATCTGCATCTAAATGTTGCATTTCTTTATCAAATTGCATAAGACTCGTCTTTTTTCACAAGACACGGAAGCGAGCCACTGACACCAACTATCTAATGAGATGACTATAGGCTGGGAGCTTTCTGTGATATTCATTGTTGGATGCGGCGAAACAAGTTCCATTGTGTATTTGACTTCCAACTCCAATGTCATTTACTTATAGGGGTGTGCAAAATCAAAAAATTTCGATTTACAGACCAAATTCAAATTTCGAAATCGGTAAATCGAAAATCGGAATCGAATTGGATTTTTTGAATTCATATATTTCGAATTTGGTTCGAATTCGATAATAGAGTTTTTCAAATCGAAATTTTCAATTTCAAATTCATAATTCGAAATCGGAATTCGAATTTCGATTTCGATTTCAAATTCGTTTTTAATATATAAATATATTTTTATACATGTAATATAAAATTTATATTATAAAATTTATATAATATAATATTATATAATAAATTTTATATTATATAATAATATATAAATTTTTTCGAATTCGGTGAAATCGAAATTAACAAATTCGAAATGGAATTCGGTACGAATTCGAATTCAGAATTGGTGAATTTAAAATCGAATTCGATCGAATTATCAGATACCAAAATTTCAAAAAATTTCGAATTTAAACTTCCGAATTACTGATTTCGAATTCGATGCACACCCCTATTTGCATAGGCTAAAACGACACTTGAACATATATTAATAATATAGTCATATATTGTTAGTCTTTTTAACCACAACTCGTAAATTATATAAATTACCAATGTCTTAAAATTTTCTAGAACGTTGGCATCTTTCATCTCTTTTTCACCATGTATAGGCTGTGAAGTACTTGAGTTACTTTAAAGATCAGCATACTTTACAAACAAATTCAAGCCTATATCAAGAAAAAATGAATACATAATCAATACCCATCATTTCCTCTCTAACTTTATTCTTTAATTCTGCTCTCACCCTTTCCATCCTTTTTGTTTCTTTCTTTGTTAAACCATAACATTATCAACCATTAAAACATTTTCTCAAGTTATAAAAGCAATGAATAATCTTGGGTTGGTATGATGTTGTGCAATAAACGCCGAACGATTGTCAAGGCCATGGACACTATAGGACAAAAACAGCATCAACAAAAACATAAAGAACATTTCAATAGGAACAAAAGTTGAAGATTAGAGTCAAGCACCCAGGGCTTAAAGAAAGGTCTACTCTCCTTGAGT